TAAGTAAAAATAAAAATAAATTATATATATATTTTTTTTATGCCTACGTTCCAGGCATTCATCAGGGCGAAGCAAAGAAAAAATAACAAATAAATAATGAGAAAATAGTAGACAATAATAATAATATGTAGGTAAAATAGTATTGTAAAATAATATTAATATGTTGGTAACTAAACTTAACATTAATACATATGTGGGATAGGTTATGTATGAACGAAAAGAAACCGTTTCCGATTACTTCAGCATTTACTAGACAAACGCTCTAAACTTCAAATTAATTACAAAAGACTCATATACATGACTATAATAAGGCCTATTTGGACTTACGGAGTTGAGCTATGGAGTCCACTTAACCATCTAATTCCTCTCGTATCCATTCCTCACAATCCAAAATCCTTTGTAAAATCCTCAACGCTCCCTCCATTGTTACAATTAAAATCATCCATAATGACCTTAATGTTTCTTATGCTTCAGATCTGCCCCAATCCAGATACATATCCTTCCATAATAAACTTCAGAATCATCCTAACCCTCTCGTTTCTGACCTTGTTTCCTCTTCGTTTCCTGATAAACCTCCGATGCGTCTGAAAAGAAGATGGCTCCTTGATCTCCTAATGTAGACATATTATTAGAGTGCTACCATTGGCTAGTTTTTCAACAAGTGTTTTCACGTCATTATATCCGTATGTTCAAATTTATTAAATGTATTTCTTTAATACAGTTGTAAATATCATTAAGAAAAAAAAGTTATATATCATTATTCTTTTTACTAAATCATCAGAATAGAAACTGAAACCGGAACTGAATACATATACACACTTACTTAAATCCATGTGGACATACTCATCACAGATATACGGTATTACTAAAAATACCCACCTACAAAAATTTTTAGCCTTCCAATAAAAATTATGCCGATTCATACCAAAAGCACCTTGGCGCGGGACTAACAAAACACTAAACACTGACCTACACCTTCCAACAGTTGACCAACATATAACGACCCATTACCAATGAATTTATACAAATTTAAACGGACATAACAACAAATTCATAAGAGCTGATTTACTTCTGAACATGAATAGGAGACTAAAAAGGCGTTGAATGAGAGATCTCTTTTATTAAACAACCTAAATAATTGAAACGGGTGTTTATCCTGAAGTCAGGGATGAGGTTCTACTGAGTGATGTCTCTTTCCATGCATGACATGTCATTATTTCTCGTATTTCAGCACATAACGTTAAAAAGTTTGTTTGAATTTTATATATATTTATCAATATTTACAACTGTATTAGTTAATAAATACAACAAGTAAATTTGAATTGATATTATGACATGTCCTACATGAAGAGACCCATTGGTAGCACTCCGAAAATAGTTCTGTACTAGAAGTTCCCAAAGCCATCTTCTTCGCAGACGCCTCGAAGGGTTATCAAGAATCGAAGAGGAAGATAGGTTAGAAACAAGAGAGTTCAGGTGGTTCAGAAGTTTATTATGGAAGGATAGATATCTGGATTGAGCCAAATCGGACACATTAGGAACATTAAGGTCATTATGTCGTTAAAAACTAACGATAACAAAGTTAGTAACTTACAAAATAATTTGCTTTTACAATAATTTGTAAAAGTACGTGATTTAAAATAATATTTTGTAAAGGATGACCTTAGTTACAGAAACCGATAATATAAATTTAAAAAAGATAATTCGGTTTCTATTTCTATTTTATGTTCATGTATTTATTTAAAAAAAATTCTATTATCTTAAAATACATATATATTTTTATGACTCCTGCTTATTTTTTCTTTCTGCTTGTTTATTATAAATAATGTATTTTATTTTATTCTTATTCCATTATTATAATTCCAAAATAAAAAAAAAAAATGATAATAATTAGTCATAAAAACCGAATGGCTGACATGTCCATCAGGAAGCAATTGAAATGGAGGTGGATGATGGATATTTCCCGACTTAAGGAAGTAAATTGTAATTTTAAAAAAAAAGTCAATTAATTAAAAAAAGTTTCTATCAATTAATTTAATAGTTCTGGCCAAATATATTTTTTTTTCTGTATCATTACGTTTTTCCTAAGGGACTTCGTTCCAGAATAAAGTTATTTTTCTATTTATATCTCTAAAAAAAGACCAGGAAGAGGTGTTGCACATTCATAATTTTTCATCATGCCTACAATTCTATTACCAAAAAAAAATTCGTATAGTCACGTTCTTGACATGTGCGGATAAAGTTCGAAGAAAAAAAATTAGTTTTATAAAATTTTTAATGTTACAGATTCAAATAGTTCAATTACTTTAGTATTAGTACTCTTTTCTGCTATAAAATATGCTCTAGTAGAATTTTTATTACTATCAAAACTATTATAGCTAAAAAAAAGTTATAGCTTCATGTAATTAAATTATTTTTTTATTTTTCCGCCTCTCCTAAACTGATTGCCTTCCACGTACACGTAAGCTTTCATACGTAATTTTCAAGAAGAGAAGAAATTAATATAACTAATGCAACTAAATGACGTAGGTCGATGTTTTCGTAGAATAACGACTTGCGTCATTCACCGTTTCTTATAACTGTTATAATTTTAAACATTACACCATCTTTCTGTCTCTTATATCTGCAATATTGTTATATAATTCATAAGCAGGTTTATTTCTAGTATTACATATTATTTCAAATAATTAAAAGCTCAAAACAAATAAACTGTCATCGTATTTGATATTAATTAATTAAATATAAATATAAATTCCAAACGGATTGTAAAGCATATATGTATATATTTCTACAAAATATAACAGGTGATTTGTATGGCACAACTTCTGTTCGTTCCCAGTTGATGCAATTTTACTGACAAACGAAAGCGTTTAGTTCTACAGCGTAACGTGAATATTTAGTAGAACAGTCAAACCATTTTAAAACCCTCGACAGTTACCAGTTAAAAACCTTTAAAATTTTCATAGCTTTTGTACTGACCTCTATCGAAGGGTATAATTTAATTTCGATGAAACGTGAGAATGAAATTATTCTGTCAGCCTTTGAACTTCACCAAAACGGAGTAATTTTTTTTATTGATTTTTTTTTTTTACAGTTCACCTGAAGTAGTGCGAAAAATACCATTTCCCGCACTTCAAAAAATTACTCGTTTGGGCAATATTACCTTGAAAATTCATAGATAGAAGGATATATTTGTAAAAAATGCGTATAATTTCATTTTGTTACAAAACATTTTTAGAAGAAACGAGTAAGATTTCGACATATAAGTGTGTATATGTATACACGGTAAGAAATGAAATGGGCATCACAGAAAAATGGAGGAATGAATTATAAAGTACTAGGAAACACATCGTATGTGTTCTTAATGGCTAAATTCTTGGGGGCGATTACAGACAAAATTTTCCACAAAAAAGTCCAATTGATGCATGGGCCGATTTTGGAACGGAAAATGAGTTAAAACCAACTTAGTATTTTTTTAAGGTGGTCAAAGTTTTTATTAAATAAGAAGAAATGGCTCAAAAACTGTTTAAGATAATTAAATTCTAAGTAGACTTATGTAAGAGGAATTTCAGGGACTAATACGAATGGGTACTGCTGCAGGTACAGTACCTATAACCGAGCTGCACATCTCTGTAATCCCGATTCGTGAAATAATTCGGTATAATGATAGTCCCTTTTATGTTTGACCTCAGTAAATCTAATCAGTTTTTTTAAAGATATTTTGTTTACTCTACGATGGCGTACTTAGAATTTAATTATCTTTAGCTACGATATACCTATTAACGGTGAGATCTTGACAGCTACATATGCAGACGATACAACAGTCCTCACAAAACATCAAGACCCTACACAGGCCTCACTAACTACAACATCACTTACTTAAACTACAAGATTGGTTAATACTATGGAAAATTCGACTTAATCATGACAAATCCAAACATATAACATTTACTTTTCGAAAAAACACCTGCCCTCCAGTTCATATTGACAACAATCAAATTCCTCAAACGGACACGGTACTTTACCTTGGACTCACCTTCGACAGAAGGATGACATCGGGCCCACATGTTAAAATGAAACGTATAACACTTAAAAAACGACTCAAACTACTTTACTCTCTTTTTGCCAAATCTTCAAAACTAAAACTAAAGCAAAAAATGAATACTTGTACATACTTACTTAAACCTATATGGACGTACTCATCACAAATATACGGCATCGCTAAAAAGACTAACCTACAAAAACTTCATACGATCCAATAAAAATTATTGCGACTCATAACAAAAGCTCCTTGGTACGTGACTAACAAAACTCTACATACTGATCTCCAATTTCCAACAGTTGACCAAAATAGACCTTTATCAACGATTTTACACAAATTTAAACGGACATAATAACAGACTAATAAGAGACATAGCCACAGCTGACATATATAAGAACATGAGGAGGAGACTAAAAAGGCGTTGGACGAGAGATCTCCTTCCTTAAACAACCTAAGTATTTGGAACAAGTTAGGGAAGAGGTACTGCTGAGTACTTTCCTTCCCCATGCCTGTCATGTCATTATTTCATGTTTCGCCATCACATTTGCTGATTGTCAACAATAAGTTGACAGGTGCAAATATATTATTTTATAGACAAAAAAAAAATATCTTTAACAGTTTACGAGTAATTCCTTCTTATTCCCTGCCTGTTAGACAAAACGGGTATTTGCATCACTGGGATATTACTCATGTAGCATGGATTCGTTAAAATCCACTGCTGTAAGTATGCCATTCATAACTACACCATATCCTATGCGCATACATCATGTAATTCTCTGATTTCGGCTATCGCCTTCTTCTGTCCTCTCTCAGTCCGGCAGCCTTCCTGGTACACTTCCTTCTGTACGTCGCAATGAGAAGAGGCCAATATATACCATATTCTTCCATTGTATGCCCAACTACAGCTGTAAAAAAATAATTTTAAATAATAAATAAAATATTAAGGAGGTCTACTTACTGGAATCTTGAGCTCTTGCGTACTGAGCTATGTCGATGGCCTTTCCGTTGAGCACGAGATCCCGCACACAGCCCACGAACCCGTTGGAGAGTAACGCTGACCAAACTGTCGGCGGGGGTGACAGTCCTGGGGGGATACCCCCGAGGAACAGACCTCCTTCCAAGTCCAGTTGGATCGAATCCCCTGAAAATCCAACATTTTTTATAGACCTTAAAACATTTAAAACAAATTCATAATTACTACTTCATTTGATTTATTTCATTGTATACTTATATATTCATCAATCTTCCTTATAAATAAAACTAGTTGACCTCTGTGAATGATTCTCATACAATATTGGTCGGTAAGCGAATAAGAAAATAAAATAATAAAACGTATTATCAAATAATGGAATCAATTTTTATTTTTTTCTGAAATACCAAAACATCAAGGAACGAAATTATATTAAAACCATTCATCATTTACAACGAAATGGTAAAGAATTACAACTAAGCTACATCTGTGTTAATAATAGTTTGATTTCGTTGATTTTTGTTTTTGTTTTGTAGGGAGTTTAGAAATCTTTCAAAAAATCATGGGTGCAATAATCAAGAATGTATACTTTAGCGTTTTGAAATAAATGTCTTCCTTATAACTGCTTCGCGTGACCTAAGTTCGGAGGGACTTTGATTATTTATCTCACCTGAAGACAAAGAAGATCTTTAAAATCAGGGTTCAATCATTGGATTTGATAAAGAATTGAGGAAGATATAGCTGATAGAAAACAAGTTTGAGAAATAATATATAAAGTTAACACAGGTTGTTATTTGTTAGTCGGAATTTTCGTATCATCATCCCGATTTTTAGTTTAAATGGATGGAATTAGTCTTATAGTATTTAGCACACCCTGTCATGTAAAAATTATCTAATCTTTCAAGAAAAAAAAATTTCTATTCTACATCTGGTTGATGAAGTGAAATACTTGAAGTAAGGTGATTATTGATTTTATCGTGAAAATTTTTAATATTTTTATATTATTGATGATACAATTTTATTATACCTTTTGTTATTCCATGTTAATTCCAGATTCTTACGCAATCCAATCAGACGCTGGCTAAATATATATTATGTAACAAGGCTTTAATTTTCTAAAATTTTTTAAACTATTTTTCGTAACTTCTAATTTTCCTATTCATAAGATTGTATTTCTTTGAAATGTATCTTATTTTCTACTTATCTACGACACACTCCTCTCTATGTGTGTATATATAAGTACTTTATTTTATTTTTTCTTCTCCTAATCTTTAGGTGTATTCAATTAAACATCTTAGGGAACATATGTAATTTTTTTTTTACAGTTTATTTTTTTATATATCAACAGTTATATATTTTTAAAAATTTTATATTCCATCACTACAATGCTTTGCTTATTAAATTGATTTAGTGTTCCTTTCTAATTTCATTTAGTGATTATTATGTTATTGTTTTATCTCCAATATTGTAGTATTGCAATCCTATTACCCAACTGTTTTCGTTAATATATCCTAAGAGCTATTATTCTTAATTTATTACTAGTATTTTAGTTATTCCTTATTGTAATAGATCTTTTGGCCAGATTTATTGTTAATTTATGTAAACAATACTGTTATTCTTAAGGGACCTAGACCCAGATTAAAGATTTTTTTTATATTTCTATTAATTATGTAACCCGGAGATTTACAAACCTTTTTTTTCCGAGGAACCATTATCGAAAAAAAAAATATTCGAGGCACTCTTGTAAGACAAAAAAAAAAGAGAAAAAAAAAGATAGCATACTTATTCTTAAACTGGTTTTATATTAGTATATATGGTTAGTATATATATAGTATAATGTTATATATATATATATGTATATATATATATATATATATATATATTTGTGTGTGTGTATATGTTAAATTATCTTAATTTAATTACCAAATTTCATAATCTCATTATGTTAATTTTAATTATGTCATTAATATCTATCAAGTAATTAATTTTTAAAATTTATATCTACTAATTTTATAAATTTGACCTTAATATTAAGTATTATTGCTGGATCAACCAATTTCAGAACCCCTTAAGAGTAGCGTATTGACTTTAAGGTGTTGCGGGTACTGTCGTTGTCGCCCCGTGCTTAAAAGATCGTAGACTAATTCTTTATTTTTAAGTCTACTATTTTATATATATATATTATTATTCTCCATATAAATTATTATGTATGTTTTTCCTCCTTTAACATTGAGATGTATTTATTAATTAATAGTTGAAATTTGTTTACATCCTTGGGTTTTATTTAGATAATCCTTAACTCTATCAGGTTATTTTCTTTACATGTCAGGATAATAATCCCTATTAGTTTGTATTTTTTTTTCGCTCAGTGGGGTGATAAAGAATTCAATGGAATCAACGTTGTCAACATAAGAATCAAAATAAATAGGTGGTACAATTTCTATGATAGTTACTGTACTTTTGTATTTTAATATGAAGTCAGTTTTATTCCTAGTTATAAAAAATTATGGATTTCCTTTGGGTAATTAGCTATCCATTCCTAAAAGTCTTTTTTAGGTGTAGAGTAAAATTAATATTGAAGAAATATTTCATCGTGATATTATACGAAGAAAGTGGAACAGTAATTCAGATAAACGATAATAATTTTCTGTATTGAGCATAATGAGATGGTCGCCTGTATTGGATATATATCGATTCCGAGTTTGGAGCGGATCCAAATGCCTCTATTTCCCCGGTCATAATTCCTACCCCTAGTACTTTATTTCTGCTTTATCATAATATATATCTAGTTTTATTTTCTGGAATATTTATTATCCTAAAGAAGGTAGTAAAAAGAGTATTCACATCTATATCATATTATTTTCTGAATAAATTTTTTTTTAACAATAAAAATAAAACTTTTATAATCAAAACTATAGCAATTAGACCAGTAAAATTAGACCCTGCGCGGGAAAGTTTTGTAGCAGTAAAAATTGGAGAGAAGAAGGTCGTTTTGTCCTCTTCAATTGATGTCTAAAAATATTATAGGGTTAACACACCAGTTATGGACAGGTTGGACTTTAAATGTCAATAATAAACTTACTTATTGATTTAAAGGAGCCATTTTTTTTCTGGATTGAAGAAGAATGCCCTCTATTGACAAATATATGAACAGAATTCCCAAAAGAAAATTTTAAAATGCCTTTCATGGTTGTTTCTGTGGTGCTCTTGAGATCATTGTGTTTCATACCTTTCTACTAACAGTTTTGCTAAAAGTAAGTTGAACATTGATGTTATCTTAACTTTATCGTTATCTTTTTATAGTTAAATGAAGATTTTAGAATTTTTATGGGATATGTCTATTACTTAGTGATAATGGGACTGAGTTTTCTGCCATCAAACAAATAAAAGCTGGAGTACCTCAAGGCAGTGTCTTGGGTCCAACACTTTTCAATATTTACTGTTCAGACATCCTACAACATTCTGAAACACTGTTGGCTACATTTGCTGATGACTCGGCAATATTAACGTCTAACAAGGATGCAGCTAAGGCTTCTCAGGTACTTCAAGAACATCTTGACGACATAGCTTGTTGGGCTAAAAGGTGCAGAATAAAAACGAACGAATCTAAGAGCCAATTTGTTTCATTTACACTTAAACATGGCTCTTGTCCTCCAGTGTTCTTCAGTAATATCGCTCTACCACCTTCAAAAACTGTTCGATATTTGGGTCTCCACTTGGGCAAACGAGTGACATGGGCATACCACATAAAACAAAAAGAAAGGAACTTAATCAGCGATACGGACTTCTTTCTAGGCTACTTGACAGACGTTCTAAATTATCTGTGACTAATAAACTAACTATTTACAAAGTACTCATTAAACCACTTTAGACATATGGGATCGAACTATGGGGAACAGCAAAGGAATCAAATATAAAAATCATTCAGTCATTCCAGTCAAAAGTCCTTCGGAAAATCCCTTTTATGTTTCAAACCTCACGTTACACACTGGCTTTAACATTCCTTTCATCACGGCAACTGCCACTGACCGCTTTAATATTTTTCATCACAAACTGACTCTAAATTCCAATCCATTTACTCAAGCTCTATCTACTGCCACAAATCCATATAATCCGCCAAGAATACTGCTGAGGCGCTGGCCAAGAGACTTATTGAATTGATCTACTTGCTGCATTATCTTTTTTTTTGTGTGTTATTATGTGTTGTTTACTATTGTAATTTTTATTTATTTATTTTTTTTTTGTCTTTTTGTTCTGTTATTACTATTCTTTTTTCTTTATGCTATCATTTTTTCTACTTGATATCATATTTTCTGAATACCGAGGTAGATGTATAAATTTATAAATGTATCAAATTTATTGTGAGCCAGAAATATGTATAACTAATAAATAATATTGTCTATTACTGGTACCAACACCCTTTCCATAAAAACAGACTGATTTAAAACTAGCAGAAATTAAAAAAAAAGGAAACCGCTTCAAATTATTACCTAGTCATTTATTGTTTCCAAATAGTTAATACATCAAATTTGTGTTGCATGTCAATCTACTTTCCTTACCAATGGTTACTTTCTTTTCATTTCTCAGTACTGAAGATGTACAATAATCTCGTAATGTAATGTAAACATTACCGGTAGTAAAAACAAAAAAAGAATAAAAGAGAATGGTTTGCAGTTGATCATGTGATAAACGTTTACGAAGCTATATTTTTCCGAATCGTCCAATAATTTTTTTTTTTCGGGAAATTTCGTTTATTTTCTTTCACACATAAACTACATATATGTACATATAGGATATAGCATAGGTGGGTAACCTCGGAAGCCACATGTGGCCTCCAAACCTTGTGTGCGGGGTAGCCAAATGGGTTAACGCGTGTGCACAGCACCGCCGTTGGTCGGCAACCTGATATATGACTCAAATTATATAAAAATAGTCACGAGTTCGCTTCCCGGTGCCGAGGGAGACATTTAATCCCCGCCCACACTCCCTGGCCCGGGAAAACCCCGTCGTAAAGCGTTAACAGGAAGGAAGGGGAGGACCCAAAGAAAAAAAAAATTATAATAGCCTATGCTAAAGTGGGCGGGGTGGCCGAACGGGCTAACGTGAGTACACAGCACCGCCGTTGCCCGACAACCTGATCTATGAGATTTAAAATAGTCATATATAAATAG